CAGTGCAGAAGCAGGTGGCCTGGATAGTGGGGGAACCTCCTGAGGTCTGAGCGCTCGGCCCCTGTGTCCTGCTGCTCCTCAGAACAGGGCTTCCCCTCATCTTTCAAGCATGACAGTCCCCTGCTTTAAGGATGCTCCCTGGAAGTTCTGTATGCCTTTTCTGCTCACATGCAGAACCTAGTCTATGTGGTGGGAAGCTAAGAAAGGCAGTAGCTGTGTGTCACAGGGAAAAAAAATAAAACCTGTTTTTAAAGAAAAGGGCAATGGGTGTGGGGAGTCAGCCAGCAGCAGCTGCTACAGACAGGGACTGGCAATGCACGGATAGATGACGGTACTGTGTGGACAGATGACAGTGCAGCGCCTGACCTGGGTCAGTTAAGGAACATGCTCATCTTTCGTTTATTTAGAGATCTTGTAGGACTTACGTTAGTTTAAGTTCCTTAAAAGTTTTTCTTGCTGTTTGTAAATAGTAATTTTTTTCTAAATGACTTTAGTAGAAGGACTGTCACGGAGACCTTTTTATCTTACACTTTCTTAATAGTTTTTGCGCTTTGTTGATGTGCTTGGGTTTTCTAGGTAAACAGTCATTTGTGATAAGGACAGTTTTGTTTTCTCCTTTCCATCCCTATGTGTGGTTTTTGTTTTGGTTTGGTTTTTGTTCTCATTATGCTATGACTGATGTTGAGTGAAAGAATTAGTAATAGGTATTCCTGTCTATTTATGAAAGGGTACTGAATTTTATCAAATTGTTTTCATATCTACTGCGATTAGCATTTGGTTTTTCACCTTTGATTGGTTAATGTGTGGATTACATTATAATATTTTCTAAGATTTCTGAGATAAATCCTAGTATATTATATCATGCTAGATAAGATGCTTATTTTTTGAACATTGTTGGGTTTGAGTTTGCCAATATTTTATTTAGGATTATTGTATCTTCCTATAAGTGAAAAACAAATTGTTCTATAATTTTTCTTTCTCTTAATGGCCTTATCTGATTTTGGAAATAATAATATACCAGCCTCAAAAATTTAAGTGAGAAGCCCTCCTTTTTTTTTCCCCCCCCAGAAGACAGCAAGTCCTTAAAGATTACATAGATTTCACCTGTAGATTTTTGGCAGGTAGACTTTAAAGTACCGTTTTGATTGCACTGAAGTATAATATACATACAGAAAACACATTATGTATTAAAATAATAGTCACACAAACACACTTTTGTGTTTTATTTGCTTTGTTCAACATTGAATTCAAGAGATTTGTCCATATGGTTACTACGATCATGTAACTGTAGTTCATTCTAATTGCTTTATGGTATTACATTATGTGAACATGCCATAATTTATCCATTCTACAGTCAGTAGGCATTTGGGTAGTTCTAGTCTTTTTTTTTTTTTTTTTTT